GAGCTCTGGTGGTGTAGTGGTTAACATATTGGACTGCTAACCAAAATATCGGCGGTTGGAACCTGCCAGCTGTACCATGGGAGAAAGATGAAGCAGTCTGCTTTCATAAAGATGGACAGCCTTGGAAACCCTATGGGGCAGTTTATTCTCTCCTCAAGTTGGAATTGACTTGGTGGTAGTGGGTGGGTAATGCAGGGATAGTGTCTAGGTACATTTTTTTTTAAATAAACTGTGACTGAGATAAGTGTCTGAGGGGGGCTAGCCCTTTGCAGTAAGAGAGAGAAAGGAGCCCAGGCCATCTCTGCTACCCCAGTCCCACACCCCTGCTGCAATAGCTTCTGGCTTCAGTGACTCGGCCCCCATCAGGGCACTGTGGCGTGCAGCTCTCAAGGGGCAAAGAAGGGTGGGTCGAGTTATTTTTAGCTCAGAAGCAATGCCTTCTGGAAAGGTTCCCTGGCTGAGTCTGGTTACTGGCTATCTCCTAGTAGTAACAAGGCTGTGACTGATGTCATGGAGGAGAACACGGGCAGATAATGCTGCCGTCCACACTTTGTTCCACTCCAGAGCTGCTCGCAGCCTCTCAGCCCGCACCTCGACCTCCATTGGGATAAACTTGGTCCCTTTCCCAAGCCTCACCCCTCTCAGCTCCTTGAGTGAGTTGAGTGTGTGGTCATGTTTACAAATTCTGACACATTTGTAAAGGAAACAGCGGGAACAGGGAACATGTGGGCCAGGAGGGGTGGTAGCAATAAAGTACTTGTAACACGTGGAACAGTGGGCAGATGGAATCCAAGAGTCACAATTCCTTCGCAGTTGCAAAAAATCATGATGCTTTTTGTGGTCATGACTTGGGAATCTGTGCTGGTTCCAACGAAAATCACATTGTTACCATTGAATTATTTAACGGAATCCATTTGAGGAGAAGAGTAAACTTGTGCATTGTGCCAAGCAATGGGGAGGGGAAAGTGGAAGGACAGGGAACGTGAGAACATAGGGTTTGTAACTACAGGTTGTACATGAATTGGACCTTTGTAACTCGGGGACTGCCTGTACAAGTATCTCACCTCTTGGATGAAATATCATCCTCGTTATTTTATTCTTTTTGATGCTGTTGTTAACTAGAATTGTTTTCTTAACTTCCTTTTCTTACTCTTTGGGTTTTGTATAGAAACAGAACTGACTTTTGTTTTGATTTTGTATTCCTGCAAATTTGCAGAATTTGTTGATTAGTTCTACTAGCTTTCCTACAGATTCTCGGGGATTTTATACATACTGGATCATTTTGTCTGACTAGAGAGAGTTTCACTTCTTCCTTTCCAAGTTCTTTTTATTGCCTAATTATTGGTTAGAACTTCTAGTATCATATCAAATAGATATGGCAAAAGCAAACATCCTTGTCTTGTTCCTGATCTTGGAGGGAATTTTTCAGTCTTTCAGCACTGAGTATGATGTTAGCTGTTGGATTTCCATAAGTACTCTCCATCATGTTGAGGGATTTCCCTTCTGTTCCTAGTTTGCTGCATGCTTTTATTATGAAAGGGTGTTGGACTTTTTCGGATACTTCTTCTGCATAATTGACTTGGTCATGGTTTTTGTTTGTTTTTTTCCCCTTGTTCTGTTAATGTGAATCAGGTCTTTGGCAGAGTTGTTGGATGGGTTCAAACCACCAATATTTCAGTTAGCAATTGAGGACTTAACCATTACACCACTGAGGTTCCTAGCTTTGGGTTTAGTTTGCTCTCCCCCCCCCACCCAAGTTCTCTAAGATGTAAAGTCAGGTGGTTAGTTTTTCTTTTGTAATGTAGGTGCTTACACCTGCAAATTTCCCTCCTCTAACAATGGCTTTCCTGTGAGTTTAGTTTCATTTTTTCTTTGTCTCTTCAGTATATTTTAATTTCTCTTGTGAATTCTTCATGCTCCCTGATTGTGTTTCTACATATTTGTGATTTTTCAAGTTTTCCTTTTTTTAAAAAAATTGAGTTCTCTCTTCATCCCATTGTGGTCAGAGAAGATAACTTTATATATTTTCCTAATTTTTAAATTTATTAAGACTTGTTTTCTGGCTTTACGTATGTTCCGTCCTGGAGAATGATCCCTGTGTGTGCACTAGAGAAAAATGTGTATTCTGTTGTTCCTGGGTGGAAGGGTCTATGTACGTGCATTAGATCTAGTTGATTTATGGTGGTGTTCAGGTCCTGTATTTTCTTGTTGATCTTCTGCCCATATATTCTATCCATTATTGAAAGTGATGTATTGAAGTCTTCCACTATTATCATAGGACTCTTTTTGTCCCTTAAATTATGTCAGTGTTTGCTCTATATGTTTTGGGGCTCTGTTGGGGTACATATAATATTTATAATTGTTATGTTTTGATTGATTCTTTTATCTGTATACCTTTGTCTCTTACATTTGTCTTACTTAGTACTGCTGTAACACGGATAGCACTTGTAGCACTGCCACTCCTCAGAAGGAAGATTGGACAATCTACTTCCATAGATATCCAAAACTCACTGCTGTGAAGTCGGATCTGACTCATAGCGACTCCTCCGTGGGTTTCCGAGGTAGTATCACTATGGAAGTAGATTGCCCAACTGTCCTTCTGAAGAGTGGCTAGTGGGTTTGAACTGCCAGCCTTCTGGTTAGCAGTCACATGCCTTAGGCACTACACCACCAGAGCTCCCTCCATAGAGATATACCACCTCAGAAACCCAAGGAGAGGTCTCTATGAGTAGGATCCAACTCGATGAGAGTGAGTTTGGTTTTTTGGTTTTAGTATGAATTGATACCCAAAATTATATTGGCTTTTATTTTTACCCTTTGTTGTGGATTGAATTGTTTTCCCCAAAAAATAATGTGTTGGAGTCCTAGTCTGTATATCTGTGGCCAAGTTCCTATTTGGAAACAGGACTTTTTTCCTCTGGTAGGTTAATGAGAACATATCAGTGGAGGGTGAACCTGATCACTTTTTAGTGACAAGCCAGCACAAACTAGGGAAGACAGAAACACACATTGAGAATCAGCAAGGAAAAAAGAAACGCCAGGGTTACAGAAGTTGAAAGGGATAGGGATATTCTCCTACAACTAGCAGAAGGAGAGCTTTCTCCTAGAAGCTACTCAGCAAACTAGAATGTAGGACATCAACTTTATGAACTATACTTTGCCAGTTGACTGAGTTGTCCCACGAGACTGTTCCTGATTCTTCAAACTCAGGAAACTAATCCCACGATGTGGTTGGTTATGTGTAAGAAGTATCCATGACTATGCCCTTATGAGATACATGTTACGGTGAAAATATACACACCAGCATATACACACACAGACACATACACACAACTCCCATGTGTACAATTAATTGACGTAGATGACATTCTGCATATGTTGTGCTGTCCTCACTATCCTTTTCCAGAATATTCACCACCATTAACGTATTTTGCCTTTTTCTTGACTCCCCCTTCACTTGGTTGTTGTAAACTCTTCACTGTTCTCCAGAGTTCTGACCAAGTTGGTTATGACAGTCTCTGCTTGTTTTTTCATGTTTTTGTTAGGGAAAAGGAGTGTGGAGCTTCTCACTCTGCTGTCTTGCTGATGTCACTCTGTTTTTCCCTATTCGTGACACTTTGCTGAGTTATTTCTACTCTGACTTCTGGCTCATTGTCACATCCATCTTTCTGATACCTATATGTTACTATAGGAGCTCTGGTAGCATAGTGGCTAAAGCACTTGACTGCTAACCAGAAGGCTGGCGGTTCAAACCCACCAGCCACTCCTCGGAAGGAAGGTTGGGCAATCCTACTTCCGTAGTGATACTGCCTCGGAAACCCAAGGAGGGGTCGCTATGAGTCTGGGCTGACTCGACGGCACATAACAACAACAACAATATGTTACTATTCCTCTTTATTGTTCCCCAATGTTGTTGAATTCCATGAAGTCAGTTCCAACTCAGTGACCCCGGGTGGCAGAGTATAACTGCCCAGTAGGGTTTTCTAGGCTGTAATCTTCACTGGAATAGATCTCTAGGTTTCTCGTGGAGTTGCTGGATAAGTTTGACCCCCCAACCTTTAGTTAGTAGCTCAGTGCTGAACTGTTGCGCCACCAGGACATCTTTCCTGACATTGGCCCACAAATAATCTGTCACAAGACGTACTATGTGCCTTTTGCAGTTGTGGAACACCACTTACTCAGTTGCCACTGAATTTGCCTACCTCTGGACATATCTGCTGCTCCCCTGCCCGCCGCCAGCAGACATGGCCCTGCTTGAACTGTGGCAGAGAAGTGAGCTAGACACCCTACCTCTTCTCCCTGTGCTGCATCTCATGATGTATACATTCTGTGGTTTTAGTGGTCCAGATAGGAGCCTTGGTGGCACAGTAGTTAAGGGCTCAGCTGCTAACCGAAAGGTTGCTAGTTCAAACTCACTCAGCATCTCCATAGGAGAAAAACCTGGCGATTTGTTCCCATAAAGATTACAGCCAGGAAAACCCTGTGGGGTGCATCTGTTTCACCACATGGGGTTGCTATGAGTTGAAATCAACTCACCAGCACCCAAGAAAAACAACAGCAGCTAGTGCTACAAAGCAGTCCCTTGAACCTGACTTAGTTCTGTTATCCTCAAAAGAGTACCATGAGCTCATTCCTTGCTGTGTTGAGTACATGTTTGTGGTGGGATTCTTTTTCCCACTAAGTTGTCATACTCTCATCAGCATTTCTCTGCTTTCAGGTCGGGCATTGGAACCAGTGCTGAAGAGACAACCTTCTGAGCAGCGTGTTTCTGTACAAGGACTCCCCAGGCAGATGGCATCAATCCTGAACATAACCCTGTGAGTGAGGTGTATGTCCACTCTTAAAAGAGTTTGCACCTGGCTCAACACCAGGCATTATACCCTGGACAGAAACCATCCTTGGGTGGGGTGTGCATGAGAGACTCTGTGGTTCAGTGCAAGTCTTCTACAACTGGGGAAGGGGAAAAAGAGTACAGTGGAAAGAGACTCTTGACAAGGGCCATGGACAGAGGCTCATTTGTGAAGAGCTGCATATTCCATGTGTCAGGAACAGGCGCCTGTGAGAAGGCTGGCATGGACTTCCCGGCTTCCTCAGAACTGCTCCCACACCAGCCCGTCCCCAGCACTGAGAAGCCACACAGCGGCATCGAGTGTGGTGAAAACTTTAATGGTGCAAGCAATCAGTACGAGTGGAGTGAATGTGGGACCACTTTCAGCTCTGAGCACACACTTCTCCAGCCCCAGAGCTTCTGTGCTGGGCAGGCGCTTTATCGATGTGGCAAGTGTGGGCACACTGCTGTCAGCTGCAAGTGTGGACGTGGTAAGAGGCAGCGAACTGGCTCTCAAGAAAGGCCTTACGAATGCGGTATATGTGGACAGTTCTTCGGCCAAATCTCCATCCTTGTCAAACACCAGATAACTCACAGTGCAGAAAGGCCTTATGAGTGCAGCGAATGTGGGAAGACCTTTAAGCGTACTGCTGAACTCATCAGACACTGGAGAATTCACACAGGAGAAAAGCCTTATGAGTGCAGTGAATGTGGGAAATCTTACACACGGAGCTCCAACCTGGTTGAGCACCAGAGGAGTCACACCGGAGAAATTGGTTATGCGCGTTACACATGTGCCATCTGTGGAAAATCTTTTAAGCAAAGCTCTAAGCTCACTCTACACAAGAGGGTTCACACAGGAGAAAGGCCATATGAGTGTGATCAGTGTGGCAAGTGCTTTAGCCAAATCTCCAATCTTATGCAACACCAGAGTGTTCACACAGGAGAAAGGCCTTATGATTGTGCTGAGTGTGGGAGATCCTTCAGTCGGAGGTCCAACTTCATCGAACACCAGAAGGTTCACACAGGAGAAAGGCCTTATGAGTGTGGCGAATGTGGGAAATTCTTTAGCCGAAGCTCCATCCTCAGTGAACACCAGAGGGTTCACACAGAAGAGAGGCCTTATGAGTGTGGTGAGTGTGGGAAAGCCTATAGACGTGTCTCCAGCCTCATTGAACACCAGAGAGTTCACACAGGAGAGAGGCCTTACGAGTGCAGCGATTGTGGGAAATCCTTCATCCGAAACTCCACCCTCACTCGGCACCGGAGAGTTCACACTGGAGAGTTTAGTGGAGAGTTCTCTGGTGACTTCACCGAGGAGTACACCGATGAGTTCCCTGGAGAAGACTTCTCCTTGGAAAATGCACTATGAATGCTGTAAATGCAGCAGATCTTTTAGCCAGTTCTCCAATGTCATCACCAAAAATTTCACACCAGAAAGAGGCCTTATTAGTGTAGCAAATGTGGGAAAGCCTTCAGCCCCAGGAAGTATACCCAGGAGAAAGACCCCAGACCTGCGGGGGATGTGCTGTTTTGTTCATCAGCAGTATGATAGACTTTAGATGGCATGAGGTTGAACCCCTTATGCCTGTAAAACCACTGTGGCGCTATCTCCCACAAGTTGCAGGTGCATGAAGCTTTCAGGAGCCACACCATGTGTTCTAACTTGCCTATGCCCTAGCTAGAATTCTGTCATTGCCAGTTTATATGGCAGAAGCCATTGCAGCCACTACCTAGCAGGTCACCGCCCCTGTGCATCATTCAGCCCACTGTCCTCATGAATGGCAAGCGTCTGTGCTTGCTCTCACCTTCCCTGGAGTAAATCATGAGGAGTCGGATCCTTTAGGGCATAAACTTGATCCAGTTTTGGACAGGAGGACCTGATTTTGGACAGGAGGACCCGGTTTTGGACAGGAGGACCCAGTCTGGGTTCTGCTGGAAGATGCCTTAAAAGGTTCACCTTCTTCGTACCATTTTTGGTTTCCTGGGATGCTCCTGATTTATTTGTCCAGCAAGACACCAATCAAGAAGTGCTTCCCATACATTGCTCTGGTTTGTGCACTGATAAAGGCCTTATTGTTCCAGCCACCTTTGGGCTCTAGTTACTGTAGTGTAGGTTGAAAACAGACTAGGGTTCTGTTTGTAGGAATAGATGAACAGCTTTGCTTTGTGCCCACAAATTTGTGTTACCCATCACGGACGGAGTGATGGCAAAGTGTAGTTCTCCCTCTAGTGGGGCCTCGTGTACGTTGTTGCCCAGGCCTCCTAGGAAAAGACTATGGGACCTCATGGTCCTAATTTGTGTCCTGGATGCCAGGATTTATCCCAACCCCCAGAAGATAGTTTGAGAAGGGGGCTCCTGCTATGGCAACCTCCAGTGCATCTGGCAGCAGCAGGTATGTGTCCCCTTGTTCCCAGGGGACATCACATAATACTGTCCCCCTTATGTGATCTCTGGTAGCATAGTGGCTAAGACACTTGCCTGCTAACCAGACGGCTGGCGGTTCAAACCCACCAGCCACTCCTCGGAAGGAAGGTTGGGCAATCCTACTTCTGTAGTGATACTGCCTCGGAAACCCAAGGAGGGGTCGCTATGAGTCGGGTCTGACTCGACGGCACATAACAACAACATTATGTGATCAATCCCCGGGTTCCACCAAGGAGCTGTGTGCCTTGGTGTCTGAAATTCAGTCGGCTGGTGTCACAGATGCAAATGATAATTGGTACAAGGATTCTGAGTGTCATTAATAGTGAGTGGGGGACACTAGTGGACAAGAACGAATGTTCCTCTTATGCACATGCATCGATATAACTCCAGAGACTTATGGCTGTGCAGCATGGATGTTCCAGAAGTGCTTGGGAACCCCCAAACCCATGTCTCCCTGGAGCTTTGGTAATCAGCCGAGCTACTCATCTAAAGGTTTCTGGATTCTCATCATGTTGCTGGCCCGCTGGCCCCAAGACTTGCTGGCATGGCTAAAGGGTAAGGCTGGAGAGAGTGGAGATACCATTGCTTGACTCATGGCATTGCTGACCCAGACAGCCTGCCTTTTGCCTCAGATGAAAACGATCTTCTTTGCTTAATGCATTTCCTGCCTCTGATGCAAGGCTGCCCTTCCCTGGGCATACAGAATGATGCTGCAGTCAGGGAAGTTGCCCAACTTAGTTTTCTGAGGGGGGAAAAATATTTTATTTTGAACCCTTTTCAAATGATTGCATTAGGATTGCTATTTTTGACGTAAGTATGAACCTGTGAACCCTTCATGAGCATGATAACAAGCACCCTCCCCCAACACACACCTTCTCTCAGGCCCTTGGAATTTCCTGGGCTCCCCAGACCTCTAGGCAACTGCTGGTTTCCTCTTTTTTCATGATAGATTAGTTTCTATTTTCTAGAAGTTTATATGACTGAAAACATAAGATGCTGAGTCTTTCCCGTGGTTCTTTCAGACTACATAGTTCTCTTGAGATGGAGCAGTGCTGCTTCTGTGACTGTTTGGTTCTTTTTATTGCTGAGTAGTAGCCTTTTCTGTGTATATGCTGGCATTTGTTGATCCATTCGTCTGTAAATGGACGTTTGAGTTGTTTCCAGTTTTGGCTGTTGCAAATAAATATGTTATGAACATAGACACACATTTCACTATGTGTATCTCTATTATTTCTCATGCTTATATCTAGAGGGCAATGTACTCATCCAGGTTAGGTGAACGTGTGACTTTTTAAGAAACTGCCTCGCTGTTACTTAAAGTGGTCAGATCTTTTTACGTTCCCACTGACTGTGAGAAAGAATTCCAGTTCCTCTACTTATCTTGGCAGTACCTGTTCTGGCCAGTGTTCTTAATTTTAGCTGTTTGAATAGGTGTGTGGTTTTAATTAACTGTACTTTAATTGTGGTTTTAATTGCATTTCTCTAGTGATTAGGGAACACTTTTTAAATAATTCTTTAATATGTTTTGGGTGAGAGGAAAATTGTGCAGATTAGAGCAGGATTCCATATATACTGCCCCACCCACACATACAGTTTCTCTTGTTAACATCATTCCTGTGGTACACTTGTTCCAGTTGATGGACCAGGACTGACACATGATTTATTTAAAGGCTATACAGGTATGTCTCACTTCACTGTGCAGATACTGCATTTGTGACAAACGGAAGGTTGGTGATAACCCTGTGTTGAGCAAGTCTGTTGGTGCCATTAGCTAACTTTGTGTCTGTTGCATTTTGGTCAATCTCACGTATTTCAGACTTTTTCATCGTGCTGTTACATACTTAATACACCACAGTATAGTGTCAACATAACTTTTATGTGCACTGGGAAACAAAAAAATTTGTGTGACTTGCTTTATCGCGATACTCGCTTTATTGAGGTAGTTTGGAACCAAACCACACTGTCTGAGGTATGCTTGTAGTTTGCATCAAGGAGCCCTGGTAGAACAATGGTTAAATACTGGGCTGCTAACTGAAAGTTTGGTGGTTCACCACCCTGCTGCTCTGTGGGAGAAAGAATGGCGATCTGCTCCCTTAACGATTACAGCCCAGGAAGCCCTGTGGTGCAGTTCTCCTTTGTCACGTGGGGTTCCTATGGGTCAGAATTGACTTGAGGGCACCCTTCAGTGTAGTTTGCATCAGGGTTCACAGTCTTTTGTACCGTCTGGGTTTTGACCAATGCAAAATGTCTTCTGTCTATTACAGTATCAGAATAGTGTCATAGAATAACTGCTATAAGAATAAAAGGAGTCCTGGTGGTATAGTGGTTAAAGCACTCAGCTGCTGACTGAAGGATCAGCAGTTTGAACCCACCAGCCACTCTTTAGGAGAAAAATCGCAGGCTGTTCCCATGAAGATTGGCAGCCTTGGAAACACTATGGGGAAGTTCTACGCTATCCTGTAGGGGTGAAGTGAGTCAGAATCCACTCTACTGCATGGGTTTGGTGTTTGGCCCTAAGAATGTGTTCTGCTGAGGGCACTGAATGCCACATTAGAGCAGTGAAAGGTTCCCAGATGTGAAGCCAGCCCACTAGGGAGTGAGCCAGCCATGAACAAACCTCTTGTGTGACCTCGTGAAAGTCACATCATTCCTGAGGCTCCACTCCCTCATCCACGTGATAGCAGTTCCTACTTCAGGGTTTTGTGAAGATTAATAGAAGTATGTTTTATGACTTTTATGAATCCTCCCACACACGCAAAGTAAATGCCACACACCTCCGTGTCCCAGTCTGTTAGCAGAGACGGGGTTTGAGCCCAGGTCTCCGTGGTATCCCACATTCCTCATTACATCACAGTGACCTTTCAGTGGTTGTGATGGGAGGCATCTCAGTAACTTACTGTGAAATGCGTCTTGCCACCCTGAACAAGCTTCTGTGGGTGTGGGCAGAGGAGCAGTGCCATCATCATTCACCTCAGGAGAAGAGGCAAGAGGTGCTGGAGACACGTCACATACTGTTGCTCGAATAACTTCTTGTACAAAGATCAGCACAAGGCTGGTCCCTATGAAGTGGAGGTTAAAGATGTCCCAAATGTCCAACTTTTCCAGACAGCTGTACCACTCCATCATCTCTGACATTAACTCCTCCTCCTCTCAGTAGTCTCCCTCCTGTCTTAGGGTTTCATATTTAGTTGTAACATCTCACAGAACTCAAACTCCCAAGGAAATGGCTCATGTGGTGATGGAGGCTCGGAGGCTGGCAGGCTAGTAAGTCCTACTCTTGTGGTTGTGGCGAACCAAAGTTGGAGGGTCAGATGACTGGCTGCTATCTCAGGACCAGGAGTGAGGTGATGACAAGCCAAATGCAGGACTGGGGCAAGAGAGAACTTTCCCAGAGCATTCACACATACACCTTCAAGGAAAGTAAGGGTGGTGATGAGTCACATCTTCCAGAAAGGTGGGACTCCATGCATCCCACCCTAAACAGGCATAGAGACTAGGATTTACATTCATTACAGAATGGAGGACAATGGCTAGAACAGCCATAGTAAGCAATCCACTGTACTGCAGGCCCTCTCCAGCCTCTGAAAGAATTCTTTATAGCCCTATTCAGACCTGAGGAGATGGAAGCCAAGGGCTTTGCTCAAGGTCACAGCCTCTAGAAGGACCCTTCAGAGTCCTCACACTGGTCTTGGTCCAACGATCCCAAGAAGTCACCTATTTCAGTAATAGCACCCTGGGCCCCTGTGGTGGTTGCCAAGGCTGCATTTTTGACTGCATCAGAAGACAGTGCTGCAGCTGGGCAGGAGCAGCTCCGGACACAGCACATGGATGGCTCTGGAGGAAGCTCCTGCACAGGCTGCGTGCTTGGGCTAGGTGAGGTCAGAGCAGAAGGAGCATGAATGAGCTTGCAGGCCCTGTGCTCGCCACTGCTATCCACTTCATTATTCCTCTGGACACGTGGGAGCGGTGGCTGTCCTGGCCGTGCACTCCAGTTGTGCACATTGCCCAAGTCCACATAGGTGGAGCTAGGGGTGAGATAGCTGCTCGGGGTCTCCAGTCTGGGACCCATCAGTGAGGAAAGGGTGTCCAGAACAAGCCTGCCAGGCTTAAGTCTGTCATACTGC